CTCTTTCCCAATGCTTCTAAATGGGGAAACTAAGGCCCGGGGGCCGGATGCGGCCCGTTAGGATTTTTAATCCGGCCCACCAAACTTTATAATTTATTTGTATTATCATTATACTTCTGCCTTTTCCCTGCAATACCCACGTTTCCCCAATAGATGGCGTGGAAAATTATGTGCATTTTAGCCTTTATGCGTGACTTTTACAAAATGATGTGCATTTTAGTCTTTATGTGTGACTTTTACATGTCATTTATCTTAGTTGTAAACTGAAACTGTACCAGAGCTGATGTTTGTCCACTTTAGTCAAACTGTGGACCACATAAACATTGACAGATTTTTTTTGACTTTCGGCACTAGAGGGCACTCTAGCTAGCCGTTGCGACATATGCTCAGACTTATATATTAAAATATACAATTTTACATATTGTTACTTTCACACTGACAGCCACCAGAGGGCACTCTAGGCTTGTGTACCAGTATCTGCTACTCCTGTGCCACTTAAAAATTTACATGTTTGTTACTTTCACACTGACAGCCACTAGAGGGCACTCTAGCTGGCTGTTGCGACTTATTTATGGATATCTTTTGGATATTTTCTTCTTCATTATGCATTGTTTGGCTGGTGCAACTTATACTTCGTAATGACTTATAGTCCGGAAAATACTGTAAATGAAAATGTATTCATCTGCTATCACTTCTGCTTTTAGGGTTGTCGGTGGTATTCCCGGAATTACTATAATGTGAAATCAAAAACCTTTGAACATTTAGTATAAATATTATTGTATTATTCTCAGAATTCAATAATGTCTTTTTTTAGAAATGTGGGTCACAGAATGACACTGTATCCAACCCTCCTCCTCCTCACTGTTTTCACCAGGAAACCCGCAGAGTTGAAGGACCTGGCCCCAGGCACCAACCCTCCTTTCCTGCTCTACAACGGCACCCTGAAAACAGACTTCCTGAAAATCGAAGAGTTCCTGGAACAGACCCTGGCTCCTCCCAGGTTCTGCTGAATCACCGTCACCACGTGGATATGAATGAATGAATGAACGAACGAAGTGGAAAATTTAGTTTATTCACTCCTTCTTCTCTTTCTCCTACTCAGATATCCTCACCTCAGTCCGACCAACAAAGAGTCCTTTGACGCTGGCGCCGACATCTTCGCGAAGTTCTCAGCTTTCATCAAGAACAGCCCGAACAACAGCTGTGAGTAACACGCAAAACGTCTCCACTTCTGTGCAGGCGTTATCCACGTAAGCCACTTAACTTTAAGAACATAGTGGGAAAATTAATAGTTTTGACTGACTAACTAAAAAATACATATTAAAGTTGTTAAATTTGCCAGTATTTGTCGCGGAGACAGAGACATCCACCGACACACACATTTTAGCAGTGGACACAGAGACATCCACCGACACACACATTTTTGCACATTAAAGGCGATAGAGGTCAGTGTTTCTCAGTTATTTTCTGCCATGCGCCCCCTATGGGGCAGTAATTGAAATACTGTTCAGTGTCTGGTAATATTTATGTATTTATGTATTTATCTGTACAAACCGCTGTAGGAGTTGCTGGCACCAGCATTCCGCATGCAACCCCCTGATTATCGAAATAGATTCATAAAATGAGCTGCTCTGCTGCCATCTAGTGACCGGAAGGGTTTGGTGTTTTGTATCGCCAACGCAAAATCTGAAGTATAAACCATGAATGACCGGCAGCAGCGCCACCGACAGTAAAGCTATGAAATGAACAGAGCAAACTATTTGGTATTATTTCATAAATATACAGTACATGACGAATATATTGCAACATAAGTCTTTATTCTGAAAATCAAAATGTTTTTATACATACATTTTCCTCCTATTCATAAATAAAAAATCACATTTGCATAAACGGATACATAAACAGGAAGTGGAGATCAGCTCGATTATGTCTAAACTAAAACAGTCGCTCGTCTGTCTGTCTTGCTCCTCAGTCCAGGAGAAGAACCTTCTACGGGAGTTCATACGTCTGGACAAATACCTGAACTCTCCTCTGCCTGAAGAGATTGACCACAACTCCACAGAAAACATCACCACATCCAAGAGGAAGTTCCTGGACGGAGACCATCTCACCTTAGCAGACTGTAACCTGCTGCCCAAACTGCACGTTATCAGGGTGAGATGCTAAATATGTATATGTATATATGTATATATATGTATATGTATATATATATATATATATACACATATATATGTATATATATACAGTATATATGTATAAGCAAATTAAGTATATTTATAAAAGTGGTTATGTGAACAAAGTATATTGATAGTTTAAATATATAAACATTCTTCAGTACTTAAAATAAGCAGTAAGCTATAAATAGGCAGTTCCAGCAGATATAATAGTGCAGGGGTGTCAAACATACGGCCCGGGGGCCAAAACCGGCCCACTACAGGGTTCATTCCGGCCCACTTGATACATTTTGAAAGTAAATAAAATGCACAAAAGCTTCATGTTCGTGAGGTTTTGTCGAATTATATTCCATTAAATATAAATATTTTGTCATAAATGTACGCATATTTGCATATTTGGGCCTCGAGATACGTTTTCCAAGTTCCGAGTAAGTAACTATTGCAAGATTTTGCTCATGATACGAGGAAACAAAACCGCGCGGTGTTGCGCTCACTGTCCGTCGCTGGGTTATTTTAATTAATTAATAATATATTTCTGGGAGCCTGGAATGAATGAATTGGTTTTCAGTTATTCTAAATTGGAGAAAATGCGATCGAGATACGAGCGAATCGGCACGCATGCTGTTGTGGAACGGATTAAACTCGTACCTTGAAGTCCCCACTGTATTAGATATGATAGATGTGATAGATGTTATATATATGGATATATAACATATACACACATAGGCATATATACATACCTATACATTCACAATAACCATAAATACATTATGTGTATATATATCCACACATATATATATATAATATATGCACCTAGACACTTATATGCGTATGTGCAAGCATATATAAACACATATACAAAACTAAAACCCTTCAGTGTTCATTTATAAATGCAGCAACTGTGGTGCGGCTGTTTTTTTTTTGTTTTTTTTTGTCTGTTTGCTTTAGCTTTTATGGCTCTACATTGCCTGGATGAGAACATAAACATCACTACAGATCCCAGAAGTCTTTGTCTGTGTCTTCATCTCATATTTTCATTAACTTCCCCTCGATCTGTTTCTCTCAGGTCGCCGCTAAAAAGTTCTGTGGCTTCGAGATCCCCGCCGAGTTCACAGGGGTTTGGCGCTATCTTCAAAATGCCTACGAGAGAGACGAGTTCCGACAGACGTGTCCGGCCGACATTGAGATAGAAAAAGCGTACCACACCGTGGCCAAGCAGGGAAAATAAGACTTTACTCTGTCACTCCATCCATTTCCTGTTCCATATTAAAGTTACCATTGCGAAGGAGATGCAGGGGGCGCTGTAACCTTGAAGGAATACGTAACTAAGGCATTGAATTTGATGTTAATCTCCCTGTAAGACATGGAGAAGTGTTGAACAAAAAATATTGTTATATATCGCTGGGTTTCTCTAAGAAAACAAACACGTGTTTAACACTGAAAAGGCCATATGTGCAATTCATTGACGTACGTAACTTTGTGGAATTTATTGTTAATAGTGTAAATACAGTTTTCTACTTGCTTTTAAATGATCAAAAATTGAAATGTTTGCTTTTGA